ATTATTTTAATAATCGATTAGTCGTCGATTAATCGATTATTAGTCATCGATTATTTTAATAATCGATTAGTCGTCGATTAATCGATTAATCATGGCAGCCCTAACCCAGATTTTGTTCAGTCGTTTTTGAACCACTTTAGAACAACATGAAAGAAATGAATAGTGCGTTTGGAAAATATCACACTCATATTTCGCTTCAGAAGTGAGTGATTTTAAGTTCTCACGAGGAAAAAAAAAAAAAGATTTTTATGTCTGAATTTGTAAAAAGTGCTATGTCAAAAAATGACTCAACTGAACTGGAAACATTTTGCATATTTATTAAAAAAATATTACATAAAAAAATAAAATAAATACTCATGGAAACTTCTATTTCCACTGATCCAGTCTGAGGATGACTCAAAATGTCTTGTGTTCACAAGGTACTTCCAAACTACTTTAACAGCCATTATTAAAGGGGGGGCAGAAAATTTGACTTTTTTTCCCTCCTCAGTAGATTTACCACAGCCATACTTTCTCTTTCCCTTTTTTCCTGTATGAAAAAGTGTATTTTGGGAAAACCCTTGCCTCTCTCCTCCTCCAGCCTTCACATCCGGGTTAGTTAACTTGGTCGGAGCTTGGTGTTGCATTCAAACGTCCCTCGTAAACTTGAAAGCCTTGCAAAGTTTTGAACTTATTTGCTTTTATTTTAATATTATTCACTTTAAAAGGTCATATTATTCATATAGACAGTAATTAGAAGTACTTTTAAATAAAAATTATGAATAAATTAGTTTACTAACCATTCAGATAGCCCTTCATGAACAGTTTTAGTTTAATGTTACACTAATTGTCAGTAGTACGAGTCATAGCTAAGTTAACGGGCTTAAAAGTTATTTTTAGGTAATTAGTAAAGTTTTAGGAAACTTCACTTCTTCTAGTGAATTGTTTATCTCCGCTTGCGTCGCTACGTTTACCGCGATATTATCATATCCCACTTTGTGCACGGACCGTGAAGGCATCACAAGTTAGGCAGTTATCAGAAAAGGCAGCCTGATGATCCAGCTGCTGCTCGCTGACATGGAAACAACCACAGTTCAGCGCTGAAACTCCGCTCTCTGTTTACGGTCACACCGTGGGTCCTCAACGGGGCGACACAAACTTCTCCCCACGGCAGCCCCCATGTAAACCCGGAGCCCCGCGCCTCCCTTTTCAGTCCTCCGAGCCATGTCCAAGAGCCTGAAGAAGAGGAAGAACCACTGGACCAACAAAGTCCACGAGAGTCTCCTTTGCCGGAACGAGGACGGGGAGCTGGGGCTGGAGCTGCGGGGCGGCGCGGAGAATGGACAGTTCCCGGTGGTCGGCGAGCTCCTCCCGGGCAGAGCGCCGTGCCACAGCGGCAAACTCAGCCAGGACGAGCTCCTGCTGGAAGTCAACGACACCCCCGTGGCGGGACTCACCACCAGGGACGTCCTCGCTGTGGTCAAACACAGCAGGGACCCCGTCCGGCTCAAGTGTGTCAAACAAGGTAAGGAGAAAAAACTCGAGAAACGCCACTTTTCTGAGCGTGTTTCTGGTTGTTTGTGCAGCTCTGCATGAACCAAAACACTGTAATTAAAGCTGTAACAAGTTGTTTAGGAATTCATACTCAAAGCCACTTTTTATTTAACTGTTTTATGTTGGAACTGGTGGTTTATGAGAGCCCAAACAACCATTCAGTTCAGTTTATATAGCACCAAATCACAGCAAGTCACTTCCAGGGACTGTATAATAACATTCACATACAGTTTAAAATAATAATTATAGTAAAAGTTATGAGAAAGCCTGCAAATTGTGTCTAAGATTCACATCTTGAGCAGCATGTTGGTGACAGTGGGAAGAATCCCAACAGAACCAGGCTCAGGATGAGTGGCCGTCCACCACCACAGACTGGGATTGGAGGACAGGAAAGGGACTTAGAGGCAAAATGACTGGTTCAGGTGTATTAGAAATAATTGCATACAAGCACAGAGGGAAGTGTTTGTAAAGGCAGTGTTGAGGAAATGAGGTGAGTTTTGTCTACTGGCTTCTAAAAGAAAATGTGAAACAATAATGGAGCTCTGTTGTTGGGAGATTTATAAATATTATGAATTTGACAAGAGGGTCAATAAGAAGATGAATCAGAGCTCTGGCAGCCACATTTTAGGTCAACAGAAGAATTATTTATTTACATATTTTAAAGACAAAAGATTACAATATTTCAGCCAATATCACTAAAATTCAAACATCTTTTTTCCAAAAAGGCAGAAGAACATGTTCGACTTTTAGTATTCTTCAACATCATTAATGACTGGTTTACATGACATCCTGATTAAAAAATAAATTTCACATTAGATCTAAAGGCCGTATTACTGCCGTCCAGAGAAATTCATTCATGTGAAAAATATCAGATGTAAACACATTCAGTACTTCAAGTATTACAGAAAAAAAGATTTATTAAAGGCACAGTGTGTAGGATTTTGTCAATTCTTTTAGCCGAAATTGAGATAATTACTAATGACAATAATAAAAAAATAGGGGTGTCCCGATACCAGTTTTTTCAAGACTGAGTACAAGTACGAGTACTTCAGTTTAGGTACTCACCGATACCAAGTAGCGGGGTTCGTGTGGATTATCTGTTCAACTTGTTGAATATTAAACAGAATGAAAATGAAATGCAATTATCATGCAAAAATTGATGGGTAAATATTATGTTTGACAATAAAATGTAGTGCAAACTCTGCCAAGTAGATAAGTTGGTATATATATCACACCATAACTTTTGAAACCATTTATTTTATTTCAAACAGGCTCTTTTTTATAAGGCCACACTCCCTCTGAATGTATCAATACAAACTCTGCAAAACAAACTGTTGCAAACATTCAAAAACAAAACAAGTTCTTTTTATATACATTTTCCTCAACAT